TATTATATTATATTATATTATATTATATTATATTATATTATATTATATTATATTATATATACTTATCCATTACATATACATATATATTATAAAAGAAGACATAAGCTCTTGAAGGACCTTCATTAAAATACATTTAGTTACTTTTTAAAAAATAATCCATGCTCAACTTGTTTCATTTTCAGGTATGTCAGAACACAGCAAGAGTTCCACAACGGTTGATGAACCTCACCAGGCTCCAGAAGAAATCCAGTCTGAGGTGATTGGGTGATACATGTAGTGATAGCTATTCAGAAATCAACCAATCCATTAACAGGCTCAGACTGGAAAAACACATTGAAATCAATCTCTATTTTTTATTATATGGATAGCAATCCAAAAACAGTTACAGGTAGTCCTCACTATCTGACCACAATTGGGACTGGAACTTCGATCACTAAACGATGTGCTTGTTAGGTGAAACATCATGTGACCACATCACTTAGCAACTGTAATCCCGGCAGTCCCAGTTGCTGTCGTTAAGTGAATGCTCCGGTTGTTAGGTAAGGCAACTTCCTGCCAGCTTCCCACAGTCAAGTCAGTGGGGAAGCTGGCAGGAAGTTGTAAGCCCCAGGTGCTGCCAAGTGGGGGAGAGAACGAGGGGATGTGTGGGTTGGGTGTGCAAGAGAGGTCCTCGCATACCCAACCTGCATCGCGCCCCCACGCACCTGATCCTTCCATGTGCCCACTCCCTCCCTCCCCTACCCACTCCCTCCCCCATTCTGTTTCTGAAAATTCTGCTTGGATTTTTAGCACAAAGATTTTTCAAGCAGCCCCGAAAGCCCCATATGAAGCAGTTACAGGCTGCCTGAAAAACCTTCATGCCAAAAATCCACAATGAGGGAGGGAACAGGTGGGGGAGGGAACGAGGGAGTGCATGGGAGGGTCGGGTTGGGTGCATAGGGGTCTGGAGCAGGTCGGGTGTGTGAGGGCCTCCCTCGCGCATCCGAACCACGCAGCCCATCTCTCCCTCCTCCATCCTCCATGGCTGAAAATTCTGCTTGGATTTTTGGCACGAACATTTTTCAGGGCTGCCTGAAAATGCCCTGTGCCAAAATCAGGCAGCCCTCAGGGACGAGAGGGAGTCCTCTCAGCATGCGGCAGCAGCTTGCGACCTTTCCTGCCAGCTACTTTCCCTGTAGGTGGCAGGGAAGATTGCAAATGGCGATCAAATGATCATGGGGTGCTTGGCAACCAGTCATAAGGGCCCAGATCGCCGTAACTTTGGGTCAGGTCGTAAGTCCCTTTGTTCAGCGCCATTGTAACTTTGAACAGTTGCTAAGCAAATGGATAGCGAAGACTATCTGTAACCGAAAATACTCCTTGATGTTGCACTGTCTTGTTAAACAGGGCATGTTGTCAACACAACAGTAATGGGGTTTTTAGAACTATTCCAGGCAGTCTTTCTTATCCTATATTTGTGGGAGACAGTGTTGGTATTACCTGACAGGTTTGCAGAATGGGTGTATATTGATCCAGATTGTTTCAATGCTTAGCAATGAACTTATTTGTACTTGGTAAATTTGTCCGTTCTCCCATTTTGACAGGATTTGAATGCTAGTTACTTGGAAAAATGTATTATATATAATAGTGTATGGCTGGACTGCTTGCTTTGTTGGGTGAATTCTCATGAGGTGATTGTTTGGCTCTTCTCACTCCATATTTGAGGAATAGTTATTGTTCTTGTTTATGTAGAAGGGTCAGCTTCCCTTATTTTATAGAATAGCTTATTTGGTCTCTGTGTAGCTTCTTGCAAAGTAGCCTACTAAGATGTACGGAAAAGATTAAATTCTGCTACAGTGTTAAAGAACAGTAAAACATCATTCAAATCAAGTGACAAAAATATTTCAAATTATACAACATTGTTACTGTACCAGTTGTGTTCATTGTGTATAAATGTAAGGATGGGGTCTGTTTGATTGTGGTATTATGGAAGTCTTTTGTAGTTGGTCCATCTAGGCTTAAATGTATAGCATTTAGAACGTTCTGAGATTCTCTTTTAAACATTATTTGAAAAACTTGTAAATAAAATCTTCAGGCTGAATCAGACTTTAGTATTATTTGGTGGTGTTACTGACCTTTGAATTTAAGAAAGCAAGAAATATACTTTTTAATAAACAAGGTCAATAAATGCTGAAAACCATGGCTAGTTAAATTGGGACTGGTTAATACAAACTGAAAATTTTTGTTGTTTCTGGTATTACATTTGTGATACTGTACATTGATGTACATTTTATTTAGTAAATACTTATTGAATTCAAGCGTTATAATACATTAGAGGACATGGAAATTATGTTATGTACTATAAACCTCTATGAAATCATTTTAATATAAAGCTGGATCCCCCCAGCCCCCAACTTGTGTTCTAGGAATATGCCTGTGCTGCAGTCATTATTCTTAGTGCCTGCTAGACTTGATTTCCTGCCTGATTTTTAAAACATATTTTAAATTAAAAATTAGAATTTGCTAGGAAGTAAATTATCAACTTCCAGCAAAATTTTAATTTCTGAAAAAATGCTTGGGGAGCTAAATTGATTCCATAAGATTTCCAGAGAAATAGAATGATGGGCAGCTACAATCCAGTGCTTTGATATGTTATAATTGTTGGGTTCCCTGTGACAGCCATGTGAGTGAATAAGCTGCATCAGACCCCCAGATGATTGGGATCCCTTGAATTAAAATACATCATCATCATAATTTTAATTGCACCTTAGAAAAATTAACATTTACAAACAGTGATAGAATAATATACAGTGTTCCATTGGACCCAATGCCAGTGGAAGGTAGCCCTGACTGAGATGGGAAGTAAGAGGAGATAGAAATACATACAGTGGTGCTTAAAAGTTTGTTAACCCTTTTGAATTTTCAATATTTCTGTGTAAATAAGTCCTAAAACGTGATCTGTTCTCCACACAAGTCCTAAAATTAGATAAAGAGAACCCAATTAAACAAATGAGTCAAAAATATTATACTTGCTCATTTATTTATTAAGGAAAATGTTCCAAAGCTACATATTTGTGGCTTAGGGATTCCACAGAGCCATCCTCACATGGGCATAAATGCTGCTGAAGTTTTTATATCATGGAGGGTAGTGCATCCAGCCTGGCCAAGGTGAAGGCCCCACAAAATTTCAGAATTAAAATTAAGGAGAGATAAGATGATGGCACATGCCTATTTTAGGAAGATGACTCCTGGCATTTTCAAACCCTAAAGGACAGAGGCTGGTTTCTGTTCAGATTGTATAATGTTTCACCTAACCAACTGTACAAGTAAGCCCACTAGTCTCCCAGCAGATGGCTTTCAGAGGCAGTCATGCTCCCATCAAGGCTAAAAGCCATTAATTCCCAAGACTTCAGTGAATTGGTCCAGCTCTTTTTTGAAGCCAGCCAAGCAAGTAACTAGCACCACATTCATGGTAGCAAATTCCAAAGTTTAATTATGTGTTTTGTAAAAAAAATAAAACACTTTTATCTGTCCTGATTCTTCCAGAATTCAATTTCATGGGGGGGTGCCTGGTTCCCAAAGTATTTTAGGAAGGGGAAAATAGCTTCCACTTTATCCATGCGGTACATAATTTTATACACCTCAATCATGTCCCCTTTCACTTGTCTCCTTTCTAGGATAAAAAGCCCCAAATGTCTCAATCTTTCCTCATAGGGAAGCTGCTCCAGCCCCTTCATCATCTTAGTCGCCCTTCTTTAGCTCCACTATATCCTTTTTGAAGTGTGGCGACCAGAACTGCACACAATATTCCAAATGCAGTTGCACCACTGATTTATATAAGGCCATTATGGTATAGTCATCTCTATTTTCAATACCATTTCTTATTATCCCTAGCATGCTGTTGGCCCTTTTTACAGCAGACACCCATCTCTTTCCTCATCAGTCACTGCTAGTTCTGATCCCATTAATTTGTATGAGTTTTTAGGGGTTTTTGACACCAATATACAACACTTTACACTTGTTCACACTGAATGACATCTTCCATGTCGATGCCCACTCCTAATGTGCAGCCCCTTTGGAGCTCTTTCTCGTCCCTTAAGCAGTAGTTATAGGAGAGGTATACAAGTAAATGAAAAAAGCTGAAGACACCAAGTTTGATAGATTTCTTTTAAATACAGACTAAATGAAAATACAGAATCTATATATCTTGTACTTCTAAACCAAGATAATTTATTTTATTTTATTTATTTATATTTCAAATTTGGACACCGCCCATCTCACAAGGAAGTACTTCAGGTTCTTCTCTACAAGAGGACTGAGAGATTGGAACTTAGAGATAGGTCTTCTCAGTGACTCTGCTGTCCATCAGGGGATCAAACTATTTATTTTTAGGAAGACCGTGAAGATTATTCTGTTTCACTAAACATTTGCAGTTTGAGTAAGAGGTAATTGGCTGCCTTACAGTGGCTGTGGTTTTATTTCTTAATTTCTGATTTAATGTTTGTATTTATTTT